CAAAATCAATTATTTAAAAATTAGCCAATTAGAATTGATTATATAAACACCAAAAATTGGCATATATATATATAAATTGGATGTCTCTTGCTGTTACACACTGTACAAACAAAAAAGTAGCTAAAAGCTAAATATAAATAATATTTAAAGAGCTACTATTTTTACTATGGTAATTTGCTATTTTTACTATAGTTATACAAGATTTTTTATTTTTAAATAATAATATAAAAAAACTTATAACTCTAATACTAACCTTAATACTAACTCTAACCTTTAACTCTAACTCTAACTCTAAAACTAATAAGTAACTATTTCTTTCAGTTTTAAGTAAACTTATAAAAAAGACTTTCTAGTTCTGATAGTAGTTAGATCATCAAAATCAGCTTGGTGAATTCCAAGATATTTGGAATTAAAAGCATGAACATAAAGATCTACAAATTCACTATTATAAAAATATTATAGTCTATAATACTTATATTCACACCTTTAACCCATTAGAACCAGAAAAATTTCTTTTACAATTTTACTTAAAATTAAAAAAAGGTTTACTTATTAGTTTTAGAGTTAAAATTAGAATAATTAAAGCTAAAGTTAATTTTTTAAAAAATCTAAATAAAGTTGTAGAGAAGCTTTTTCTGGTTCTAATAGTAGTTAGATCATTAAAATTAATCTGGTAGATTCAAAGTTATTTGAGCTAAAGGTATAAATATAAATATTATAAACTATAATACTTTGTATAACAATAAATTTGTAGATCTTTATATTTGTGCTTTTAACTCCTTTACAAGTTTATTTAGAACTAAAAAAAAGGTTTACTTATTAAAAACTTCTTTAATTTTTAAAAAACTAATTTTTACTATATAAATACTAAAAATAGAAAAAAACCAAATATTTTGTGTAACTCATGTGAAAATAGCAAATTACCATGGTGGAAATAGGCATTCTCAATATTTATTACTTTTGCATGATTAATTTTCTTATTATCTTAGTGAATTTATTTATTTACTTTATTCTATTTTATAAAAGTATTAGGATTACTTTTATTGACAATATTTTAACACTAGTATTATCTTTAACTAAAACAATATATTTCAAAATAGTATAAATATTTAATATAGCAGGATCACCTCTTATATTACAACAAATTATAAATTTATATTATTATTATTATTTTTAAGAGTAAACTTATTTTTTCAAAAAATTTTATTAATGGATATCCATAGCCCCTTTATACTAAATTTAATATGATTTAAAAAAATCATATTATAGCAATAAATAAAAATTTTTATTTTAAATTTTGCTAAAATATTCTATAGCAGGTCAAGCATAGGTACATTTGATGCAACTAGGTTAGCTAACACTTGTAATTTAGGTAGTTGGACATGATGTGTTCGATAAGATTGATAAACTCGTGTAGTTTGTTTATTATAGCCTAATAAAGTGGAGGCATGACTGCCGAAAGTTAAAAAAAAAATAATAAATTGTGTTATGTAGGTCCCGGAAATTATTGTCTCAACTTCGTACACGGGTATTTTGTAGACAAGCAGACTTATTTCATAGACAGTTTATTTTTCTGACGGCTTATTTCACAGAAGATTTTTTAACCTAAACGAAAGTGACCAGAATTACTTTTCTGTAAAGTGAGTCCATGAAATAAATTTGTTTGTGAACAATCATGTAAAATGTTCTTGTCTGTAATAATTGTCTGTGAGTTGAGTTGCCTGTAATGACCCGCACCGAAATCTTTCGTTAATTAAGCTGGCAAGTGTAAAAATTATTTATTGATTGAATTATTCGAAATCATCTACATGTTTCATTCTAAATTATTCTTATCTGAATTAATTTGGTCGATGGGTTTGTTTCGAGTAACAAGTAATGGCGAAAAATTTGGTGTACCATGAGGTACAATGAGCCAAACCAGAAGCATTCAGTAAATCACTTCGTCTGAATACTCTCCATTCGATCTGACTCGGAGATCATGGCACCGCCAAATTTTTACGCCATTACTTTGTCACTTGTTATTTTCTCGTTCATGTAAGAGAAACTGCTAGGTTAATGTTCCTTATCATTTGTTGTGCTTGCAAATTTTCAACGACATATGACAAACTACGTGGAATTGATATGCGTTGACTGAAGTCTTTATTTAATCTATCGCAATTGAGTGCCACGATTATTAGCACTATTTCGAATCAAATTCAGAGATGCTCGGGAATGCATTTATTCTGTGAATATTAAAAAAAAAAGAGAAATCGATGATTTCTGATTAAGAAATGATTCTGATTGCCGATTTCTTTAACATTTTTTTTGCAGAAATAAAGTTTTAAATTCATAATTTTATAACATAATTTGATTTAGCAACTTTTGTAGGAATATAATTTGCATATTCATCATGTTGTAAAGAACTTATTGTGTAATATTGATTTTTTTTTCTTTTCTATCCGATAAAATTTACTATTTGCATGATAAGCAAATTCAATTTTATAAGAATTATTACATGATTCTAGAATTAATTTGTTTATGACTGATAGAATCATGAAATTTCAAAATAAAAACATAAGGAACTTTAGTATAATTTTTTTTATTGGAATATATTTTTTCATTACAATAAGTTTTAGAAGTTGTACATAAAAGACACTTTATGCATCCAAGGCATATTCTGGGATAATAATTTTGACCATTAGAAATGTTTTTTATTTAAAAAAAATCGTGCTAAATAAATATATATTTTTATTTGTAAGGTGTTGTTCAATTAATTGTAATTTAATTTAGTGGTTAATTGAAAAAAGATTTACTAATACTTCATCGTACGAAATTTGAATTCGGATTTTAATCGATAGAATGACTCTAAAAAAAGACGATCTGCTAGTTTGCCTCCGATCTATCGGGTGAGGTACAAAGGTCGTACTGGTCCTGCGCGGCATCGCATGTCGCGCAATATACCTGATACTGTATAACGTATATATAGTTTATTCCATTCATAGTTTGGGATCGGATATTTCAAGTTCGGTCCAGTAAATTCCAATACTAATGCTAGTTGAAAGTGAAAGGCAAAACTTGAACCAATGCTAGCTAGAAATAAAACAAAAAAAAATCTTCCCAAAAATTGCGAATTATTGATCACATTATTTTGATACCGTTTGGTTCGTCTACTACTCGGAACTCGGGCAGCCCGAGTTTCGAATGGTACCAAAATCATGTGATCCTGATCTATAATTAATTTTTGGGAAGAATTTTTTTTTTTTGCCAATATCATTCCTTTTCCCAGACCAAGCTCAGATATTCGGGTTAATACACCTTGATGCACTTAACTCCTAACGCTAATATGTTGGGTGATTTGGTTAATCCTGGATTATGGATTTTTTATTACTAATTAAAGCTTTACATATACATTGGCAATAATTTAATGTATAAACCGAATTATCCAACACCTAAAAAAACTGGTGATTGTTGTCATTGCTGAAAGATTGATTTCAGTATTAAATAGCTCTCATTGTTCTTATTAGAAGAAATTCATTCTTTCCAAAAATGATAACTTTTTTTCAAAAGGCATATCTAGTTTTCATTTCGCGTAATAAATTTTTTTTTTTAATAGAAAGAAATAAGAATAAAATATTTTAATTAATCGAAAAAAAATTCGTACTGATTCCAAAATGACGTATTTGATATGTTATTTATTGATTCACAAATGATTCAGAATTGACAGGAATCAATAAACGACGCACAATATTATCACTATTAGTTATGTAAAAATTTGAAATAAATTTATATTTATCTACAGTATATATATTATACAATATTTTTAAGGATTTCACCTGTGATAATCACCTGTAGTGCTATGTCTCAAAAACATACGTACGTACTAAGTAATTAGGGTTAGGAATTCTAAGTAAAAATGTTCAGAAAAATCTTATATATATTGTATATATTTAGATTATTATATATATCCCTCTTATTGGTCCCAAAACTGCATCCTAATCCTAAATCTTAGCAAAAATTAGTTCACCACAGGTGATCATTAGTTTTTTTCTATTTTTAATATATATTTTTTAAATTATTAAAGTTAGTATTTAGGTTTTTGAGATAATATATGCATAAATATAAAAAACCATAGATGCGTTTTAGTAAAAATATAAATTATATATAAATTTGTAAAATTAAAATATATTAGCTTAAATATTTAACTATTAATTAAAATATATCCATATTTTAAACTAATAAAGATTTAAAGCAATAGATTAAATATTAATAACAAAGAGACTATAAAAGTAGTAACGGAAAGGTAGTAACGGTAAATAAAATCATTTCTAAAACTTTTAGTAGCAATATATCAACACAAGGTAAGGAAAGCTTATTGCTGTAATTATGATTCGCTCTCTAACCATTTCCACAGTTGATCATTAAGGACATCCTACTAAGATATAAATACTGTATTATATCATACAAAAATAAAATTAGAGTTTACAGTACTATATATATACAACAACTGAAAATATATAATGCCAATTTTAGATAAATTATTATCGAAATTTACTTAAGTGGATGTTTGATAACAAGTTTTCAATCCACCTACATACAACATATATTGAAAATCGTTATTACACCATATATTTTGGCGTGAGTGCTGGCTTTGACTTATCACTTATCGCTACTGAAATTTTTGGTCATAAATATAATATGACTTATCGTAACAATATAAGTGATAAATTCCAACGGTTTGTATGTTTACGAAACAATAATTAGAATAGTAACACAAAGATCTTACTTTTTTAGTCTACAAATTTATAGATCACAGGAGTTTGAAAGTTTAATACAGTAACCGTTTCAAATCCTGATTTCAAATCACAAAGCTGCATGTAATAAATGATTTTAGTATTGCATATCTCTAAATATTAAACGCTTATATAAATGCTCGAAAATTGATTCTTTGATTTATAACAAAATTCTCTTAAAAAAAATAAACTAAATAAAATAAATAGAAACCCAATTTTTTTTTAAAAAAAATGACGATTCGAAAAAAAACACCACCTCAAATTCCGGGCTTTGAGCATTTACATTCCGATATCGTACTAATTCCAGGATACCGAGGTTCAAAATTATATAATCAGAAAACTAAAACTACAACTTGGTTAAATTTGCAAATTCCTCTTTCACCCCATAGCAAGGGAAATCTTGATCTCCCGTTACAAATCACCAAAGATGAGCCAGATCGATTTATTCCCCACGGAATATTACAAAAGATCGCATTTTATAAATTTTATGATTCTTTAATACAACACATGGATAACCTGTCTTCTCAAAAAAATTCATCATCCTTTAAATTTCATAAATTTAGTTACGATTGGAGACGTAGTAATCAAGGTAAAATATATACAAGTAATTTTTATAGAAATAATAAAAAAATGTTAACGTGACATTTGATATCAGTAAAATTTGTGATTGGCAGAACCGATGTGCTTAATCAAAGTTTAACTTTATTCTTCTTGTACGTACTATTTGATTACTAGCAACCTCGGATATATTTCTAGAATACCTGAAAAAGATCTATGCAGCAAACGGTGAAAAACCTATTTATATATTTGCTCATTCAAATGGCGGTCTAATCACTCTATCAGTATTACATCGTGCACCACACTTAATTGCCGGCGTAATATTCGCTGGGACACCGTTCGGCGGTGCACCCGGGATATTCCACGAATTAAAATTTGGAAGTCCAGTGCTGTTTAATAAAAAACTTCAAGATCCAACAACCATATTTACTTTTCGAACTGCATTTCATTTGTTGCCTATTAAATGTAACGCTTTTAAAAATCCGGTGACCGGTAAGGACTTTTATATAGACTATTTTGATTCGAAGGAGTGGTTAAATAGTGAGTGGAGCGATGTTATATTCGAGGATACACCCCGAAATTTGGCAATCGGAACAAAAGAAGAGAGAATAGCGTACTTAGAAAGAGTATTAGATGATACTAAGAAATTTCATGATAGTTTAAAATTTCAAGGCACAGAATTTAAATATCCTCCATTGGTAACTATTATTAGTAATGTATATCAATCTAATGGAGGATATCCTATTACTAAGAACCAGCATGGTAAATGGGTAATTGACTTTGAAGGACTGATACCTGTTAAAGGTGATGGATCTGTCTCTGTCGAAAGTACGAAATTACCTGATGGGATTCCTTATGAAGTTTGCTACTCTATGAATACACATGCTGAGTTGTTTGAGGATTTGACGGCTGTTGGACAAGCTATTGAAAAAATCTTTGCTCCAAAAAAAGTTGCTTAAGAGTATTTACAGACTGCAAAAATAAACCATTTGACATACAGTACCTACATTAGATAGTTAATTTTTAATTAGCAGTCTTATTTCTTTATTTTCACTATTTATCTCAATGTGTATTACAAAAAATTTTATAAATATTGTATATGAATTTGTTTCTTGATAAAAAGCTTTTAACTAAGCACTAGTCAAATAAAAAGTTAAAATTTTTGTTAAAAATTTTTTTGAATTTTACAAAGGTTATCATCTGTTAAAAGAACTAAAATTCAAGGTTAGAATCAGATAGGGTTAGAATTAGAAGAGTTAGATTATATGTAAAAGTTTATTTTTGCTTCGGATTAGGGATATTAAGTGGTTCGCTTGGTCCAGTTCTAGTTCAGTCTCAAGGAGTTCAAAAGAAAAACGAACTAAAGTTTGTAAACCTTAGTTTGGCTTTAAAGTTTGAACTTATAGTAATTTTATAAACTTGAAACGTAAATTTAAGTTAACTTGTATTTCAAACTTGATTTTATAAATTTAAGTTTATTGAATAATATATAGAACAGTATATACAGTATTGTATAGTATATAGCAAATTAAATTAATTTATTAACTAAGAATAATTATGAGATATTTAATTAGCAAATATTTATTGTAAATATATTAATTGTTAAATAATTGTTATACTTATTATTAATAAATTAAATTGTAAAATAAATTAAGTTGTAAAATATATTAAGTTGTAAAATAAATTAAGTTGTAAAATAAATTAAGTTGTTAAATTGTAAAATAAATAATAAGAGTTTTAAAAAAAAGTGCACCTGCACTGCACCCCTAGCTATATCTCAAAATTTTACTAGGGTAACCCTGTTGTGCAACTAACAAAAAATGATCGTTATATAATTTTATCTAACCCTAACCTAAACCCTAACCCTAATTATAACTTTTCTTAAAATTTGCTATATCTCAAAATTTTACTAGAGTAACCCTGTTGTATAACTAAGTAAAAATGCTTCTTTTGCAATTTTATCTAACCCAGGGTTGTATAATTTACATAAGTTATTTAAACTAATAGTAAGTTAAATTTTAACTAATGTAATTTATGTAATTTACATATTTTAGTACTAAATAAGAATTAGCTTCTATACATCACTCTAGTTATATTGACATTTTTGAGACATTAGTAAAAAAATTCAAAATATCGATACAGTGAGTTATACTGATATTTTATATTAAATTTTTGAAAAAGAATGTTGGTATAGAAAGATTTTACTATGATATCATTATATTCAGATGTTGGTATAACCAGAATGATGTATATATAATTTAGTATTCCTAATACTAGCTAAATTTAATTTCAAAGTTGGCTTATATTAATATTATGTATTTGTAACTTATATGAAGCTATATAACTTACAATATAACTTACAATGTAAGTTATATTGTCAGGTAAGTTATCCTAACCCTGACCTAACTCTACCCCAAACTCTAACTCTAACTCTAACTCTAACTCTAACTAATCTCAACTTTATTAAAAATTTGCTATATGTGTGTACTTAGTACAGGGTATATTAAATTATAAATTCTATAAAATAAATTAAAAATTAAGTTGTAAAATAAATAGAGTTCGAATCCCACGGACAATGAATTTTGAAAAATAGGCTTGCGTTACGGTTGACGGTTATGATTATTGGTTGGATCTTAGATAAATCTATAACTTCGGTCATACGATCTAGTAATAGGAGCAATGGCGCAATAAAGCCGAGGAACCGGCATAACCAAAAACCCATTTGGGAAGTCCTGAGTTAAAAAGTAGCAGTGATCTTCGATGGTATTACAAGAAGGCTGAATTCGAACCGGGGCCCGAGATCGGAGAACTGAATGACCAGGTCCTAATGGCGGAGGACATACCAGCCGAATCGCCGGGTTCTGTCGCATCGGAGAAAAAGGACATACGCTTCGAAAGTATGTACCAAGGGGAGAGCGTCCTTCAGATACCTAAAGCCTGGGCAGATCGACCCTTCCGGGTTGCCGGCTGGAAG